GCCGTCTCCTCTAGGCTCAGCCCCAACTTCCAGCCAGCGAATATGAAGACCATCCCTGGTTCTCGCATCGGTTATCAGGTCGCACGGAGACGGACAGGTTGAGTCGCATCGCTCGCGCTGATAATGAAACCTGCGCAAGCTGCAGCCTAACGGTCCCCAAGGGTGTAAGCGAACAACTTCCACCTGGTGGACCGGGGACTTTGAAGGCGGATGGCAAGGGCCGAAATGGAAGCCCAGTGCTACGCTCCAGAGAAATCGTGTATTCCTGTAGCGGATCTCGGTCGGATTATGATGCTGAGCCCCACCCGCATCACTCGCCCGGTACCTCCCTTCACTCCTCCGCGTCGTCGGAAACTTCCTCATGTCACACCCATATCGTGAACTATCTCTCATTACACGGGCCGCCAATCCCCGATGATTATGCACTTCTACGTAGCGCCTCAATTAGAACGCTGAGCTGTGAGCTCTTGCCTCGCGGGCTCTCATCAGGGCCCTTGTCGTTCGGGGACCCCGTTACGGGTTACACTATCGCCTATGTTTTTCGCCTCCCGGACCCTATGGCTCGCGGCAAACGCCGGAGCTATGCGCTTCTTGCCCTGGCAGGAAAGGACGCCGGCAAAGCCTTCCGTGCGTCCCCGCTAATCTGGCGCGTGTTCGGTCGCATCGCTGCGAGCATCGTTAGTGCTGCTGAACGGCATCAGGAGTCGGAAAAGTGCAAGGAAGAAGGCGGGATTCCCACTTCTGCCGCTGCTGCTGCCACTACAAGCATGGCCAACGGACGGAACTACACGCCCATTTCTTCCTTCCTGACCGGCCGAGCCCTGGGCCCAGACGGCCAACCGCGCCGCGCCGGCCAAATCCGCGCACGCAACCTTGCAGAGATCGTGGGGAACGAATATATCTTTGCTGAACTGCACGCGCAATTTGTCGCCTTGCTCCAGCAGCTGTGTGTTATGTTTGGCGGAGCCCGCATCCCGGACGATCGCTCAGTCTCGAGTTCGTTTGAGGAGGAGAGTACCTTTTCGCCACGTCGACAGTCTCTGTCGGGCGATTGCGGGAGGGGGACAATCGACACCGGCATGACCACTACCAGAACAAGCGGCAGTCCCGCTGATCCTGGGAATCCTAGACACGATTATGACTCATCCTCCGTCATGCTCTCGCCGGCGCCGAAACCAATACCCATATCTCATCGTGGGCGACAGGTAGCAGCCTAGGCAAGTTTTGAGCCTGTGCTGCTCCCTGCTCCTGCTCCTGCTCCTGATCGACTTCGATTTCGATAACCACGGAGGAAAATATCTCTATTGCCTTCTACCTATCCACTTTCAACCTTTTTTTTTTTTCTTTTTTTTTTTTTTTGGCGCTCTCATATTTTGCATTAACTTCACAACATATACCCCAAACTTATCTTTTTTCCATTTAACTTATTTTTTTAATGCTGCTTTATTATTTCTTCCAAGTTCCGACCCCCAAACTTCCGGTTCTCTACCATCAATCCATATTTGACGCTGTTACGACTTGATTTACATAACAACAACTCGTCATCGAACTTGAAAATAACCGAATAGAATACTGAACGCACCCCGACCCAACGAAGCACACGTTGTTTATTTACGTCACCCCTCCGGCACAATTTATATATATTTTAATTACCATATTCCATCTTTTTTTCTCTGCACATATTTTCCAGCCTCTCTCCCCTTAACTCCCTTTCCCCTTCCGGCCCCTGATCGCGCGCTTGGACATATCGATCTACGTTTCTCCATATTTGCTGTATTTGGGGAATTTTCCTCGCTAATTCCCTCTATCTCCTCTTCCCCTCCCTCCTCTCTCTGAAACGAAACACAAACTTCCTCATGCCTGCAAAACTGAGCCTCCTCATGTCCCGAAGGGTCAGGAATAAGCAAGAGACTCTGTGGGAGGCGAGATATCGTGTATAGGTTCAGCTTCGATGACGATGACGATGAGGACAACGGGGGAGAGGATGGAGATGATGAAGCCTCCCAACAGTCTATAAGAACCTACTTCTAGTTCCCTCTTCTCACGCCCTTTCTAAAGGCCGATGGGCTTTTCCCCTTTAGCCTTTTGATTCCCCCTTCTTCTTGCTCGCTCCGTTGCTTGCGAAATATATGGATGCACCGGAGTAAGGGTTTTACTTGGGAGGGATGGGAGGGAAGGAAGGGAGGGACGGCCAGTGGAGGTGATGGCTCTTCATCCTTCTGCTTGATTCAAGCGCTCCCAACCCACCGCCTTCTGTGGTGACTAACTTTAACATCTGATACAGACGAAACACGAGGCTGTGACGTGTTTTTTTTATCGGAGCCTCTTTTTTTGTTCCTCGTTTTTCTTTCGGAGCTTTTTATGTTTCTCATCATCATCATCATCATCATTACCATCAAAGAAAGAGATGGATATGGCGGGACGGAAACTGGCGAAATTTGGGTATTCTTTTCTGCTTCTCGTTATGTTACCATGTTTCATCAATAGAATATTTCGGGTGTTTTTTTTTTTTTTTTTTTTTTTTTTTTTTTTTCATCCCTATCTTGTATTTTTCCCTTTTAAGCCCTATTTTTGTTTTAGCGCTGGTTATATCTATCTATCTATCTATCTATCTATATAGTATATCCGGAACCTCTCTCTCCCCCTCTCTCCCTCCCTAATATTAATATTTCAACTCTTTTCAACAGACCGGTTGAAGCTTGCAACCATCACGTTCTCATCGGTTTGTGTTGCACGTGTTATTATTATGTGCCGTAGGCCCATGGCTTAATACAAAAATGAATCTTTGATCTAACCAACTGAACCCATCGCGCGCGACACCATTATTTATATCAAAACAAATTGGCAGTTTAAGTGGCGCTGTGACCGTCATCACCATCGCTTGCCCCCATCATCATCAATTTTTTTTTTTTTTTTTTTTTCCTATCTCTGTATATACTTGCCCAGTCGTTAAAACAGGCACAGGCTAATAATACGTATTGAGACCCAGTGGTGTAGTAACAATCATCCATCATCCATCATCATCTATTGCTCTATATAATTGTATGTTCTGCTTCTTATTAGCACGTCTGCTTCTTATTAGCACGTCCCCCGTTACAAATGTATATATATATATATATATATAGTCCAGCAGAGTTATGCTCTAGTACGCCCTCCAAAAGGGACTCTGCCCTACTCGATCCCGGTCGCCATCGACTGACCACCTAGGCATGTAATTTGCTTGCTGGAAACAGAGCATGGCTGGGGGAAGGCGGGGATCGCGGGCCGCGGAAACAAGCGAAGCAAGCATGCGGAGATAACTTAACTACTAGTAGAGTAGTTGTTATCTATCTACGTTGGTGAGAGGTAGGAGTCAAGTCAGTGGTTAGGTTTCTTTTGCTTATCCATTGGCATTTCTGCATTTCTTCTTGTATTTTGTATTTTTGTATTTTATATATATATATATATATATATATATATATATATGTTTGTTTGTTTGTTTTGGATAAACTCTCTTTTGTTTTGTCGTGACCTCGCTCGTTTAGCCGTTACTGGCGAAAAGACATTCCGGCGGGAGCCAGGAGCCAGGAGCGAGGACGGGAAGGGAGGGGATTCTTAAGTAGGTTTGCTTCATAATATTATATCAAATTCCCTTTTGTTGCTTACTAGTTATTTATTTTCCATTTATTTTTTCCGTTTTCAGCGGGGTTTTTTTTTTTTTTTTTTTTTTTTTTTTTTTTTTTATATCTCGGATAGGTTTGGAAGAATGGGTTTGCTCTGTGGGGCTCCCACCGAGCTGAAATTCAATTATTCGTTAGCTCTTTGCTATAAGACGTTTGGAACGGAGACAGAGAGGGGGGAGGTTTCTAGTTCCCCACAGTTGCTGGCACACTGTGGACGGTTTGCCTTGGGAAGGGGTGATGCCGACGGAGTTAGACGCTCTCACGCGGGAGATATTTGGTGGCCTTTCTCCAATTCTCCTACCATCACTGGGGCGGGTACTTTTCGGGTACCTAGTTCAGATGAAATTTGGTTCGACAAGGAGCTGCAGGATATAAAATGTCTGTCAGGCAGACACGAAACACAGACAACTAGGCCTTGAGCAAGTGTGTTTCGAGTTGAGCAAATACGTATTCTCGCTTATTGCAAGGAATTGAATGAAAATAAAAGATATCCGCAGGACAACGAACGGATGGTCTTTGGTAGAGGAGAATGAGATGGCATTGGCCTGTGTGACCCATAGTTGGAGAATGACTGTGTGACCCATAGTTGGAGAATGACCAAAGGTGGGTATGATAGAATACTGCTTTACTCCGTAGTTGTAGATATAATGTTGTGTTTCATCAGAGATCAGGACGGAAAGAGCTTTCACGGGGCAGGTAACAATGACGTCATAACCCTAATCTTATCGATCTGGATTGAGGATCACATGATATCAGTGTTGGAATTTGAGATGAATTTTCTTCTGGCAACCATCAGGATACACGGAGTTGGGCATCTGCCACTGACATCAAATCCCGTACCGTATTGCATACCGAACTGCTACGCATATGGTGGCATGCTAACCCCTTGTCAATGGTGCTCTATTCCCTACATACTCTATGAAAAATGGATCCGTACGATAACGACTCCTCCGGTATCGAAGACTTCACCGAGACCAACGTCCTCCTTGGTTACGCCGATGACAATGCTTCTGACGATTCGATCAGTCATCTTGGCGGATGGCCGGTACCCAAGCCCCAATCTTTTCTTTAGCTCTGCTTTTGATTTTATACAGTGATCTTGGAAAGCTAATTGAGGATTTCAATAGACCTGGATTGACCCCGCCAGCCCACCACCCGGTGATTTAGCCAAATGCAAAGTCTGCAACAACCCAATGTTGCTTCTCCTCCAGCTACATGGTGACCTGCCGGAACACTTTCCTCACGATGAACGGTGGTTGTATATCTTTGGGTGCCCCAGGAAATCCTGCTCTAGGAAACCCGGAAGTATAAGAGCGCTGCGCGGTGTAAAGAAGCACAAAATTGCAAACTCGACTTCACGACAACAGCAAACTCAAACTAAGAAACTGGGAGATGCACCGGAGCCCACCCCGGCCGAGAGCAAGTCTAAACAAGATCTTGGCTCGAGTCTCTTTGGTGCGGCTCCCTCTAACCATAGACAATCAGCCAACCTAAACCCGTTTTCAACCGCATCCTCCAACAGCTTAGCAAACCCTTTCGCTCCCCTTGCTCCTACATCCACCCTAGCTGCAAAACCTCCCCAAAAGCCATCCTCATCCCCACCAACTGAATCCCTCCCTGAAACGTTCGCCGAAAAGGTCCGCCTCTCCTCCCCGCCCCTGCCACACCCCACGAAAGTAGCAGCAGGACCCCCGCTTCCTTGGCCACCGCAATCCGCATTCCCAAAGCCTTATCCCCATCACCACCTTGATGCAGAATACGAAACACTCTCCCACCCGTCCTCCCCCATCTTACACAACCCAGCACAACCAGTCATCATGGAAGAGGACCCTTCCACAACCTCCGGCGCAGACCCCAAGGAAACTTTTGAATCCAGCATCGACAAATGCTTCCTGCGCTTCTCTACCCGACTAGGCCATAACCCGGAGCAAGTCCTCCGCTACGAATTCCGCGGAGTGCCCTTACTGTACTCCACAACCGATGCGGTGGGCAGACTATTCTCCCAATCCTCCTCCTCCTCACCCGCCAAATCATCGCATATCATACTATCCAGCAACAGCGCGGCGAGCCAGAGTCCGAATAGGATTCCCCTCTGCGAGTATTGTGGACGCGAACGCGTATTTGAAGTTCAGCTCACGCCGCATGCGATCACGGTGCTTGAAGAGGGGCGGGAAAATATTGGGCTTGGGCCTACCGACGATGCGGGGATGGAGTGGGGCACTGTGATCTTAGCGGTTTGCTCGGCGAATTGTGGATTAGAGCATGAGGGGGTATTGGGGTGGAGGGGAGGAGTGGGGTTGGTGTTCAATGGGAGGAAAGAATCGCAGGGAAGTAGTTGGGGAGATGCTGTATTTTGAGCCTAGTTGGATTGGTCAGAGCTAGGGAGGAAAGGGGGGGATGGTTAAAAATATAAATAGCTTAGTCGTGCGAAGTTATTTTTAACGACCTAGGAAACATAGGAGATGGAAATAGAGCGAAGGATTCGCTGGTACAAACTTATATAAGTATCTATTTAGTAAAATGGCTGCTCACGTTACTCTGCAAAAGGAGAACGCAGCTAGCGAGCAAGGTATTATGAAAGAAGTGCTTTAGATGACTTCACAGATATATATTTCCCAGGAAGTTACGTTTCCCCGCCCATAACTCTATTTCCTCATTTCATTCCGCGTGATGCGGAGCTAATTCTGCTCCCCACAGAAGGGGAAAAATAAATTAAAAAAAAAAAAAAAAGGACATGAAAAAGTTATATGATTGAGACGAAATGTTAACACAGAAAGAAAATAAGAAAAAGAAATTCGGAAATCAAGCGGGTTGTTCCAAACCCCTCCGAAGTACCCGACCGAACATTTCTATTCCCACTTTCTCACCCTTGATCTCCCCTCTGGCCTCATTTTCTTTATTTTTGGGAACTCTGATAACAGCACTCGTAAGATCAGAGCCTGCGTTTTTATCAACTTCCCATCCGCAAACATCAACGACGAACTTCTCCAGAGCTTCTAGTCCGTTCAGGTCCAACCATTGAGCTAGTACATCAGCGCCGATTTCCCGAAATGCCTTGCCGACCTCAACCGCAATGCGGACCCGTACCAACTCTTCAAATCCTGCAACGTCGGCAACCAAATCTGCGTATAGGTCGTCGGAATTGAGCGTTGACCAGAAGAGGGTGTATTGTGCCGATTCGAGGAGAGTGTTGAGGCGGGCGAGTTTTTGGATTGATTCGATGAAGTCAGACGTTTGCATGGGGAGCGAAGACGATGTAGATGCAGAAAATGGTTGAGTGTATGCGGGGAGGAGGGCGAGAGCGAGGGAGAAGGCAGGCGAAGGGAAGACGGTTAAAGCTTTAGCAAGAATGTTGGTTGTTGTTTCGGTGTGGAGGAGATGAGGATTGAACTGGTAACTGGGGATTTTATTGTCCACGATAGACAATTGTTGTTAGCGAAGGTTTTTCGGGCAGTTGGTATACAAAAGCATGAAAGGAGGTGGTAATTTTCAGGGAAATAATTGATCCCCATCCCTATTCACTCGATATTTATCGAGAAACAGAGTCAGGCTAATAGGAAACGTTAATGTAATAAAATTACAGATCATCATAATAAGGCCACAAATGAAAAACCCGACAAAAGCGCAAGCTCATGCTTTTTATTTTCAAAAGCAAGTATATGATCGCTAGTCGCAGCAATAAAAGTGGTCTCTCAATAGAAATCCGAATATAAGCACTCACAGTTTCAGTAATGCCAGATTGGCATAGCAGTCAAACGTTCTGTCCTCGCATTGCTGAACAACATACTCTTGGAAGATTGTTGTGGTTTCTGGATTGTATCTGTCCAAGCCGTTGAGGATGACATCGATATGCTGTGGCCTCGTTTTACACTTATCGAACGCAGCCATTTTGTTCTTTTTCACTCCCTTTCGCTCGAAATTCTCTTTGGGCCACCTCTTATAAATCAGATATCGCAGATTCGTCCCGGATTTTCGTGCAGATTTGTGCGAGTATTTTCACCAGAAGCGAAAGACGTCCACGTCAAATAGAGGGGCTCCTGGAGCTCGTATTTACCACAAAGTTAGCGGACAGGAGCGAATTACTTCAGGTGAAGAATAGCCGATAAAGAACCCCTTTTAACCGTGTGTTGGAGAAGTCGAGAAATGTCCCATCTGATGTTGATTTTCATAACTTGAAGTTTGTGGTGCGAAAGCGCACCCGGAAAGGGTGCTACCTAATGCGGAATGTTTTGCCGGCCATGATGACTCAGCTAACAGCCAACACATCATCCTTGAACTATGAGGGCGTACAGTTGAACGTGGTTAATTTTTCGGACCGGAACAACTTTCGGCGTGGTTAATATGTCCATCAATATCATTAATATGTTGAACATAGTTTTTCATTATTATCTAGCTACTTTGGGCATTCTGTAACAGAAGAAGTGAATTTGAATCACGTGACCATGGCGATCATATGAGAGGTGCCAACCTACAGTATATAGTAGGCATCTACAATGTTCAGTCAGTATGTAGAATTGAACATGGGTTTTAAAAGAGTTCTGCTCTAAAACCATGCCATTGTTTATTACTAGTGTGAAAACTGAGCATGGTTTATCTACAAGACCCACTTTTTTAAAACCATGTCCATGTTTGAATAAACCACGTTCAACTTGTAACCCGGAACTATGAACATATTTACAGAGAGGCAAAATCCGTTGAATGAGGTCACCTTTAACCCTGACTATCGTACTGATGAGTTGGTACTTGGGAGTGGGAATGCGAGATAGATTCTATCGAGGCTGTAACGGGGTTGCTAGGCTAGGTTTTTGAAATTACGCCTCCCCGTCCCCATCTTTTAAGGGGCCATTTCAAAAGAAAAAAGGAAGGGGGACAAGAGTTTGATTTCAACTTTTTTTTTTTTTTTTTTTTTTTCATTATAGGATTAGATCGTTCAATACAGTGTTTTATGTATACATCTATGGATAGACATTCACATTTCCCCATTTGGATTATGTCTACAGTACAGTTCTCATGTGCTGGGCTGTTATGCCTCAGACCCCAATTTTGCTTTTTGAAAAGTCTATCTCTTGAATTCTAAAGTACATACTTGTTTTAGAATTGACGTGTGGTTGTATGTGCTGCGTTGCCCGGGTTATCCAG